AAATCATGACCAAATGACCAAAAACGCTGTTTACGTGTGGACGAAAGGTGCAAATGCATAGAAAAATACCCGGGTACGTGTGGACGTAGCCTGGATCTCACTGGAGGACCAAGTAGTACAAAAAGAAACAAGAACTTTTAATTTCAGATACTTTATAACAAGACAAAACTGCAATCATGAACACAGTTTTTCCCTCATTCCTAAATAACTGAAGCCTTTCATTGAACTACCAAATAAACACCTTGGTCCTCTCTGGCCACACACATGGCAGCACTTCTGCTATCACTTAAAATAAAAATTCAGATATAAGTGTCCACATTAGTTTGTGACTCTCTGCCAATGTTGCCTTCATATTAAATCTTTTTTTTTAACATTGCACTTAACAACAAACAAATCCTCCCAACAAAAAAGTAACTTCAAGGATCAAATTACATATTTCTTCATGTTAACATACGGCCTTGATAAGTAGGGGTGTCGTGGGCTCCAAGTGGCCCTCGGGCCACGAGTTTGAGACGAATTAATGATCACATTTTATATAAAACTGGATACAGATTCATCTAAAATCAACATTTACGCTGTAAGTTGAACTTTGTTTCAGTGATTTTAATCATTTGTAAAAATATAATATATGTAGGCTTTGCCAAAGCATTAGCATGAGCACGTGCAGTCCAAATAAGGGAACATGGAGATTTATTTGGGGATGCACATCCACTTTTTCCCTCCGTCACGTTATTCCGGGGACAACTTTGAGTACTGTCATCTGGACTTGCTCCTATCAGTCTGCACGGGTTTGTCAACAGTTTACAGAAAAAGTTAAAATAAGCATTGTTTAACCGTTTCAGTGTCAGCTTATCAAGGCTTAAATGTTAAGATATAACATTAATAACTGGCAGTCAGTATTGTAGAGGTCTGAGCCGTTTTTATTATGCTTATGTAAGTCAAAGGTAACTTAAATGTGAATTTATTATACAAACACTTTAATATTTTTGGGTTTGTTTGCTTTAGTTGTATTCCACAACCAGCTTAATATGCAACTAGACCTCTAATTGATCCAAATATGTGTTGGTACTTATTAATAGTAGTATATATGTTTACATATCAGCTGAAAATACTCTTCATCCATCGTTTATATTTATAGGTATTCACTAAGCCCTGATAAGCTGGCAGGTGAATTTATTAATCCACCTAAAATATTTGTACAAAAGAAAACCAAGCAAAAAAGTTACTGTACTTGTAAATACATTTAAATGTATATACATACACACACACACACACACACACTATATCACAATTCTCTGAGTAACTGTTTTATATGTATTCCTATATGAAGTGGGGTCATCTGTGTATTTTCAATTCAGCTGAACTTGTTCTTGAATTCTATGTTCTCTTTATAATGAAAATATATTGTCTGAAAGGTGTAAAGTAATTTTCTTTTGGGTTAATTTCATAGCTAAAAGTATACTATTATGAGCCTTTTCTTTATTCATGAATTCTTTTGTTGTCAATATGTGACATATATATAAGTAACCTCTGATTGTTTTCTGAGTGTCAGAATAAAGCAGTTATATGATCATCATGTCTGCCTTCACACATGGATGTTGTTGTTGCTGTTGTCAATCTAAGACTTTCTCACCACAGTTTAAATTTCCCACCAACTGAAGTCAGTTAACAAAAATAGTCAGTACAGATCTTTTCTTCGTCTTCGCTTCATTGAGATTTAAGCGTCGAATAAGCCCAACTTATTGCTACATGTAGCACTTTTACACTTGTAATTTCAGTTTTTTTAAAGTTGCCGTTTTGCTCCTTTGTGGCACAAAATCAAACAGCGGGGAGACAAAAGATTTAAAAAAATGAGACTATTAATAATTTAAGTTGAGGTAACTGCTCGTCCACTGTCGTGTATTCCTGTCATTATAAGTTGTGTTGGTTGACAGACTGATCTGATCACGCTCAAATGATCCAAACAGGAAATGGGTAACTTAGAGCACAAGGTTAATAATAAATCGTGGAAAATAAATGAATATATTGAAGCTGTAATAACACAATAAACTCAAAAATTAAAGGCCATGAACACCACAAACTGAAAGGTTGGTGCTAGACTGAATCAGCTGTTGTGATTGGTTGTTTTGGTCAGGTGACTCAGTGGTCCCCAATCCTTGGGGTGGGGCTCGGGTGTGAAGTTTATGGTTTTTAGAGTTTTTAGTGTCGACTGTTTCTCTGGGTCGTTTCCCGTGTTGTAGTTGTGTCTTATTTTGAAAGGAATATTTAGGCGTTACCATAACGACCAGATCATTAAGGGGCAGAGAGGAGGATGCATGGCGCATTTTAGCTGGACGCTGCTAATAAAGTTACATAATTACACAGTGAAGTCACGTTTATTATTATATTGTTGTATTTATCCGCCGCACCTTAAAGGCTGGTCCGTGGCACAAAAAAGGATGGGGACCGCTGAGGTAACGGATGAAAAAGGTTGCGTGGGAGCCAATCAGGTCGGTTGCAGACTTGTTGCATCAACTTGTTTGCTTATGACGGGCCGCCAAAATTAGCTTCAGAAGCTGCACCACACAGCTGGTTTCAGCAGGTCTCCTCTAACCTCAGACGAGTCTTTGGTGTTTTTGAGGACCTTCACTACCATCAATGCTGTTAGGGAGAAACTGTGAGGGGAGAACGCGACGGATGGACGCTGTCGGTTAGCTACCTGATGACGCCGTGGAGGCGGTTGCGTGCAGCTGAAGGTGTTGACTTGGATAAGAGCCTCACTTCTGTTAGTGACGAGCAGCATAAATAAGCTTCAAACCCCTCTGAGCTGTGATTACACACCTCGGATTTCGAAGAGCGGGTTTCAGAGCTCAAAGATTACTTTCTGTAGTGGTGACAGTGTTTAAAGATCTTCACCGACTCTGCCTTTGTCTTAACGATGATCCCGCGACTGTTTCGTCCGTGTAACGTTCCAGCAACATCCAAACTAGCGTCCGCTCCCCTTCGCTGCACGGTGGCAGCACAAACAGATTAAAACTTGAGGAAATAAACCCCAAACTGTCCGCAGGGCTCAAAGCTAACACGCACACTGTTAAGCAGACTTCACAAACTCTGAGTGAGAGCAGCACAGGCTCTCACGCCCGAACCATCCCCTCCCCTGAATCCTTCACATCCGTGGGTGATTAATATATTTGTGTCTGCAGTCCTTCCAGTTCCAGGCTGCCTGACAGCGAGGCCTATATGTAGCTGCAGCGCTATTGTGCTCCCTCCCCGCTGAGCCGTAAGACCGCATGTGGATATTTTTGTATGGCGGGTCCCCAGCGAGCGCTCAGTAAAGCCGAGGTATAGAATATATAGAGGAGAGGAAACGCTTGGGCCAGTTCCTCTCTGGGAAGAGCTAGATTGGGGCGGGGGCGCATGCAGGGTGGAGGCTGATTGAGCACGCCACTTGTTTGACTGTTTGTCTCTGCTGGTTAGGAGATGGCGGGGGGACTGGGCGGGGCGATGCACTACAAAGCCATTCTGAAATTAAAGCCTCATCTTCTTTCATTTATTTATTTTTTCATCAGAAGCTTAGAGCTGCTGAAGATCACTGTGAATTAGGAAGCGTCTGTCACGACGAGGGTCCCGGGACACTCGCCTCGCCCACACCCCTCCACCCCTCTCTCCCCAGCTGCCATCCGGCCCCATTACACGCTGAGACTTTTCACTTTGTGCTGCCAAACTGCCGATCTCCACTCGCGATTACAGCTCGCTCTGATCTGTATCCTGGGGAGAGCAGTAGCTCTGGTGTTGGCAGGCGTGAGACCTCTACTCCCGCTTCTTTTATGCTGCGTTACAAGAGCGCGATGAAACGCGAATGACGCCGAGCTCCCAAACTTTTTCGCAGTTGAGTTGTAGACGCTGCAGCTCCTGTTGGCGGTTTCGACGCCTCAACTTCTTAACTTTTTTAGTGTACATTGCACCGATGGGGCGGAGGGGGCTTTAAAGCGAGCGCGGGTTGTTTACTCCATACGTTGTTCCATATGTTTACCAGTGTTGGTTTCTCTCAGAGAACTATGCTGTCGGCGACACGATCCTCGCCCCCAAAAAACGTACTCAGAGAGGCACAAAGTTGCACCGAGCTGCTGCACACTGACTCTCATTATGCATGTCTATCCGAAACATAACTTTCTGCATATTCACCAGTCTCCCCGCTTCTCTCCCCTGTTTCTAGTAAATACAAAATGAAGAGCTGTACTCAGTATTGATGGACATCACAGATGAAAACAACGAAGAGAGGAGAACTAGCTTTAAGAAAATAACAAAAGAAGAAGAAGACAAGGAGGAGTCCCTCTACTGAGGCTGGCGAGGAAAGACGGGAGGCGTACAAAGTGGCGCCGCGGCAGTGGTGTCAAACCAGCCACAAACTTGACAGACGGAGTGAGCCAGTTTCCACCAGGGACCACCTTTTTGCCGGGTAGAAAAAGACAGAGAGAGAATGAAAAGTGTCCCGTTATTATAAAACATTTTATTTTTCTATACTTTTGTGATTTACAATGGTAAAAAAAAAAAAGTGTGTATAAAGCAGTATATATGTACAAATCTGTTTTTATGTTTTTTGGTAAGGGAGATGAACAGTTGGCCCTTGATGCTGATTCTGTGGTATGCAGGAAGGAGGAGGGAGGAGCCCCGCCCCCCCTCCTCTCTCTGTGGCACACTGCTCTGTCGCCGAGGTCGTGTTTGAAGAAAAAAAAAAAAAGTTACAAAACAAAAACAAAACAGAAAAGGTGGCAGGGAGAGCTCGGCATCCAGGCAGAAGCACTTTCTATGCTGTACTTCCTGTGGGTGGAGTCAAAGGTCAACCTCCTGGTCTCACTGCTCCGCCTTCTTCCTTCCAACCTCCCCAAAACTCCTTCCTTCCTTCCTTCCTTCCTTCTCGGGCCGGTGATGACGCTCTTTCCTCCTTGTTGCGGTGTCACTGGCCTGCAGCGCCTAGCGTTAGCAGCGTCCCCCGTGGATACTGTTGTGATGTCACTTCCTCCCGGCAGCACCATTGGGCATCCCCGCCCTCCCCAATGGGCAGCATCACTGGTTTACAGCGTTGGGGAGTGGGGGGGGTGAGCCACGGCGGGACGGTGAGACGGTGTAAAGCCGAGCCTCCCCGTCTGCCCCTCTCCACGCCCCAGCAGAGGTCACTGACTAAGGACTAGTTAGAGAACACGGCGCGGAAGTCGCCGACTTTACTCACCTGCCAGACTCCGAGCCCAAGCCTTTGCGTCACTCCGCACCGACGGACGAACTGTCAGACCAACGCGACGACAAGGTGCGTACGACTACCAAGGATGCACGTTTCCACCTGACGAGAATAACTCATCGACGTCCATGTAACAAATTGAATTATAATCGAATAATCCCATCGTACTACATCAGCAGGTGCATAACCAAAACACAAGCCTGAGGCATATAGACTTATGTCGCTAGATAAAACATATAGAAATACAGTAGTGCCCATCCAACGGTAATCGAGGAACTAGGGCTGAAATATGTCAACTTTTCTTTGTCCGTGTATTCTGAGAATATTTATTTGTGTGTTTTTTGTATTTTTTTGCAGCACTGAAAGTTTTAAACAGGAAAAAAAAAAAGTTTTAATTTGGTGGAAGCGAAACCTTAATTCTTTATATCAGGAAAAATCACTGTAAACGTGTTAAATCAAGAATGTTGGTTCAGTTTTTGAATGTACTTTAATGTCTAGGGTGTCCAATAAGTATGTATTCTTTTTCTGTATATAAATATATATACATATCTATTATATGGGCTGTGGTGATGTCAGGGAATAGAGGGGGTGGGCAGGAAAGCCTCTGGCCCCCAACATAGATATCAGACCCCTCCCACTAAATATGTCCCTGATATTTACTGTAACATGTGATCATGTGTTATATGATTGAAAGTGTGACGGTGATAGTGTGAACTGATCTCCCCCGACATCGCCCCCGAATCCCACGTTTACCACACAAGCTAATGTATACTGTGCACAAACACACACAGGTTAACAACACAGGCAGGATCACACACACACACACACACACACTCCCCAAACTGCTTTTTCCCTCTTTTTTTGTGCCCCACTCTGAGCAAAACACCACATCCCACTTTCAGACACTTCACAAAAAGAACCACATCTGCGCGCTAATTCCGGCCGCGCTCCAGCACTCGCTAATTAGCGCGAGGTTTAGTGGGATAAAAAGTTTATGAATATTGATTTTTCTTTTCTTACTTGAACCAAAGCATGATTCGAACACACAGTCTCAGCGCTCTTTGATCAGGAGACAGCGGGACTCGGCGATGACGGCGGAGCCCGGACGTGTATTGACGTGACCCAGATTTTAATCGCTCATCGCCGCCGAGGTAGAGCTCGCTCTCCCGCTAGCGTAACGAGCCTCGCCGATGAAGCCCGGCTCGCGGCTTCCTGCGGCAGCTGCCTCGGTTTATGAGCCGCTGTTCTGGCGCTGACCCTGGTGGGCGGGCGGTTTTATTGCGTATTGGAAACAACCTGCTGGCCCTGAGGAGAAACTTTATCAGAGGCGAGCGGGTTCGGGTGAAGCACAACTTTGTTTGAGAGTTCAGGGTACACTACTTGGTAGTGGTTTTGTGTGAGTTGTTACAAGAGGGTAAGACTAGGTTAAGCTCCTGACTTCCTGTACAAAACTACAGTGTGTACTGTTAATATCCTGTACAGTAAATCTCACCTCACACTTCTTGATTAACTTCATCTTATTTCAGGTTAAAAAAAAAAAAGTACTTGTTCTAAATCAGGGCTCCTACCCACGCGACCTCTGTTCATCCGTAGACAGCTTCTCATATATTACAGAGTATCTATATCATGCCAACTAACTGTCGTGAAGTCTAATTGGGGTAAAGTCGGTCATTCGTTCTCCCATGCAGCGATCACACGCAGGCTTAGCGTCTTCATACCTGTAGGTTTGTTTCCGAGAGTCACGCGGTTCCTCTGGCCTACTTACGGGACGACAGCCCGGCGGTAGGTCAGAAGCAACGCAGGAGCAGGCTGGAGTTTTACTTCGATGGCAACTTTGTGGAAAGCAGAGCTTCTCTGAAAGGAAAAAAGGGGGGGAAACCTAAATGGTCACTACATGATCAGCAGCGATAAAGAGCCACAGTTTGTCGTTTGTTTTTTAACGAACTTTAGGTTTTGGTCAGACGTTCGGATTTTGTCCACTGAAATATCTATGCATTCTGCAACAAGAACACTTGATGTCATGTGTGATAGGCACATTCTGGGTAGACAGCACTTTTCTCTACTTCTTCTAGTCGACTCCTAGCTGATAAAACCTAAACGGATAACACTGGTATTATTATGCATTTTAATTTTGTCAGCAAATCTCAACACAAGACAAAAAAAAGTAACTTTGTTTCTGATTTTTCTTGTTTTTCTCACTTCCACTTTGACTGTCTCTTGGTTTATAGTGAAGACAAATCTATTATGTGTGATTCGCATATTTAAAAAACTCGCATCGATCGTATCCTGGCTCGTTACGCCGTTTTGGCGCCTTTAGTCTTAAAATCCTACTTTTTGTTCTGATTGGCTCCCAGAGCTTCAGGCGAGGGGAGATTCTCGAGACGACCGTGTAAGGAGATCCGACGCTCACAGGGATTACAACAACACACGTTCGCCTAATTAAACGAAGGCTTCAGCAATCTCTCACATATATGATATAAAGCTAAAATAAGTCCCCTTTAAAACCGAGGAAGCAGCTGGCCGCTATACTTTTTGTAAGCATTGCTCAAACTGAAGTGCATTACTTAGGGACTGTTTCCAGCAGCTGATTAATCCACCTTTGGTGCTCTGGTGAGTATTTGTGGCAGCAGAGGTGTGTGTGTGGGTTCAGGTCAGAGCAAACTATAGCGTGTGTTTCCGTGGTAATCAAGGACAACAGCGTGGCTCCCTGCTGGGATTTTAACGGTTTCTGGCCAACAATGAAGCTCTGCAGACACATCTGACACACACTCACGATACTACACTGCACCTCTGCTCATTTTATTGCATTTGATGTCAGAGGTCAATATATACTATTTCTACGGGGCGACGATGCAGACGCGTGTAATATATTAGGCTGCCACGGTTTCAGTTCTTAACTGCTAACTTGAATTTTTACAGTACAGTGGGTCACAGTCAGTATAACCGTCTCTCTAGTTTTTCCTCTGAACAATATTAGTCACAGTAGTCGTCGTAGTTTTAGTAAGAGTAGTTCGGGATTTCGTGCAATTCTCTTTAGAGTCCGCTGGATTTTTGAGGCCGGCGCTCACACCAGTGTTTAGGCAGCGGGACGTTCTGATGAGGATTTATATGGGCCAGTATTCTTTTATAGATATGTAAGTACACAGTATTTTAGAGCGATATATCAAATAACTAACGACGTGGTCACCGTTCAGTATTCCAGCAATGTATTTCAGAAACACTTTAGCAACTTAGACTAGAGACACGCCTCGACTCCATGATGCTGCTCTGCTACATGTGCTGCAAACGGCGTCGGCGCCCCTCCGCTGGGAAAACCGAGCGATGACTCCATTTAGAAATTAACCCGACCCGCTTTTTTTTCTACCTTGTACTAAAAAAAATAAAACAAAACAAAAAAAAAAGTTTTACAAAGAATGAAAAGAGTTTTTACGTCACACTGGACAACTTACATGACTATGATGAGCAAATGTCACTAAACCATCGCTAAATCTAATGACGTGTTCAGACCAATTTTGATACACACAGTCTATGCAAAAGGTGCGAATTCAAACCGATTTGCACCGGGTGAGGCGAAAATAGAGGCGAATAAACAGCCGCGGGGTTTCAGCGAGAAATTCACTTCGAGCTGTGCTGTTAAAGCCGATCAGCTGCTTCCCCTGACTGAGCATCCGGGAGATACGAGGGGAGGAAAAGGAAGAGTTTGGTTTCTGGAACCGGGCGTCCCATCGGTCGCTGGGGTGAATATTTAGGGGTTGCAAAACGATCCAAAACCAGCAACCGCATTCATGAGAGTCACACAAAGTGAACTCTGTTTCATGTTTGGTCTGAACACCACGTTAGAGCCGCAGCTTCAAGGTAATCTTCACCTGCATTCCTGCCCATTAAAGCAACGACACTACACGTGTGCACACAGCGTGGGTACATCGCTTCCTCTTTAGCATTCGAGCGTGTAAACAGCTTCACAGATGACTTTTGGCCAACTTTTGAATTATCTTGAAAAGAAAAAAAACAGACGGAGTGAGAGAGAAAATGTTGTCCTTTATAACTTTTTGCTGGTACGTGTAAAGAATAGAGCTCATCCTGCTTACGGGTAGAATTCTGTCCTAGTAGCTTTCATTGCATGAAGTTATCTCGTCACATTTTCTGACTGAGAACAGCTCCTGTGAACAAAGCTTCCTTTAAACGTGCTCGCCAAGCCTCACGGGAGCTGTGCTCGAACAGTTTAAAAAAAAACAACAAAAAAAGTCTTTTGATCCGTGTCAATATGAAAAGTATCTACTACATTTTAAATGATGTAATCTGAGTAGTTAGATGTTTGTAATGTCTCTTTCTCCAGTGGTCAAGTCTGGATTATAGGATACATGAAAATTTTTAGGGACTTTTTTGTTTCATGTTTTTGGTTTTTTTTGGGGTCGTTTTAACTGTGGCTGTTTGTCTCTGTCCGCTGGTGCAAAGTCTGAACTTCCAAGTTTACATCTGCATCCATTTGTTGTGTCTAAAACTCCAGCCTGCGCCTTAACAGTGGGATGGAGCGGGGGTGGGTGTGTGTGTGGGGGTGGGGTTGAAGTGACCCTCCCTTCTTTCCTTCCTTCCTTCCTCCCTTCCTTCAGATGCCTTTAGTATAACGAACTGGTCCTGATCTTCCTGAGCACAACTGCTTGAGCTGTGACACTAGCAGGATGTCCCCTCTGAGAGCCCCCTGCCCTGTCCCCGCCTCCAGCACACCCGCCCCACTACTACCATCCCATGCCCCGCCCCCAGCCTTCTAGTATGTGAGTTGACCGGTCCCCTTTTGTATTCCTGGTGTTCTGTACATAATGACCTTTGCCTTCCCTTCCCTCCCCCGTCCCACCCGCCCCCGGCTGTCCTTTCAGGGGGAAAAGAAAAAAAGAAAAAAAAAACATCCCGACTCCCCTGAAATCTTGTATTTTGTTCTAATAATGACGAAATTTATTTATAAGGATTTTTTAAAATCTAACTCTTTCTCCTTTTGTAAATGTTCCAGTTAAATAAAGTTTAAAAAAAAATGTTAAAAAATTAAATGGATATATTGAAAGGTTAAAAAAAAAAATGTCTCTAGAAGTCCCCGCCCCCTCCTCTGGCTCTGTACTCTGAACTTTGTGTTTTTGTTTTTTCTCTTTCTGTATGCTTCTCTTTACGTGCTTCAGATGAAGAGTTCTATTTATTATGACATTAACGTTATTATAATTATGACTAATTATTAATATTATCATCATCCTCATCATCCTCATTATTATCATTAATAAACTTGTCTACTTCAGCCTCCGCGTCTCCGCTGTTTTGTGGTGAGTGATGAGTTGCCGGATGCTCGGGACGCGCCGGGGCTCGCGGTAACGCTACGAGTCCCACGACGCGGCATCGCTACGACGACGCGTGACACGAGCCAGGTGGAACGGGGGCGGGGCCACGCTTCCAGACCCATTTGTCTTGTGCCGGAGCCCCTCTGGGGCCGCGTGATGGAGAGCACCTGTCTGTCGCCGAGGCTGCCATTTACCCAACCGGAGAAAGACAAACTCAAAGAGCGAAGCCCGCGAGTGGAGAAATATAGAAGCGCCTTCAGGGGGAAGCGGGAGAGACAAAAAACATGAATGTAAATACTTCAGAAGATCAGTGCCTCTCCATCACTGTTGACTTTGTTTAATCCTTTGAGCCTCTACAAACAATGGGAGATGGGATTTTTTCTTTTTTTTGTCACAACAAAATCTAGAAAATGTTATTTGTGTCACTGCTGTGCCACATCACAATGCGCACACGCTCAGTAGGCGAATACGGTTCGTGTGCTTTTGTTTTAACGTCGCCGTTTTTATTAGCTGTTTAAGACGTGCCCCAGTTTCTGTTTTCTGCTTATTAATAATACATAATAACACGAAACTGACATTTAATGGAGGCGACGAAGGCACGTGTGAGCGGGCGCGCAGGGGACAAAAAGACACTGAAAAATAAACTATTTTTAGTTCATGTTGACATTTTTCAGCTGAGAGAGGACTCGTGTCAGTTTTCTAACCAAGTTATAACCTGATATTTAACTAAAGCTGTTTTCACACAAGAACCCTGGAAAATGTCTCCGGATGTTTCTCCAGAGCGAGAACATCGAGTTCGCTCTTTGTGACGGTGCAGCCTGGACACGCTGTGCAGGACGAAGACAAAGAGTTTTGTGGTTTTTATTCGTTTTTAATTCATTTTCAGTCGTTGCTTTGAGTTTGGGTTCAGAGTGAGTTTATTTTTTTTCATTTTTTGCTTTGATTTTTTTTTAATTGTTCAGTTTTTGCTTAGTTTGTCTTTTTTTTTTAATCATTTTAATGTGTGGAAGTATCTCCAAGGCTTGCTAAAGGAAGACACCCCAGTTTTCATTAACCATACAAGCATGAGCAAATTAAGTAAAAGCTATAAAACAACATTAAGATTTATTCAAAATGTTCATCATGAGAGTCCAACAGAGCAATTTTGGGATGTGGTGGAAGGAGATTATGGAAGCTGTTGAGTCAGTATGGAACAACATCTCTGGCTGTCTAACATCAGGTAAATAACTACAGTGTTTGAGAGAAAAACCCAATAATCAGATGATCTCCTGTTGGCAGCACTCGGCGACAGTGGGGAGGAAGAACTCACTTTTAACAGGAAGAGACCTAAAACAGAACCGGGATCAAGGAGAGGGCGCTATCATCCGAGACCGAGTAGAAGAGAAAACATCGAGCATAAAGAGGCTTCAACAACGAACATTACACAGCTGTGTTCATTTACGTTTAACTTTTTAAATTTGTCTCTGAAGTAAAGATTCGGCTACAGGAGCTGGATTCAGAAATACGTGCTGCTGATCACTCGACTTATCCTGTTAATGGATAAAAATTAAACTCAATGCAAAGAGGTTAGATTACATTTACTTTGATTACTCCATCATTTTTCAGGGTTGTACATTTAATTACGTGTTTACTTTTGTAAATAACCTGTGATAGGTGAAATCCGCGAAGTAGCCAACTTTATTCTTTACAGTTATTACAGATGTTTTAAGGCTGTAAAACCCCTCACTACACACTTTATACACTCAGACAGGCGTGAACATTTTTTCTCTTTTCTCTCTTGTTTAAACTCTCAAAGTTCAAACCTTGGTAGAAGAATAAGTCCAGTATTATAGAACGAAACCAAAGATCAAACCCTGTTTTCAGGTCCAGAACATGGGAACAGAGCAGCTGCCAGAGAATTCAACATTAATGAATCAATGATACAGAAGTAGAGGAAGCAAGAAGGAGGAGCTGAGTAAAGTTTGACTTATCTGACTGTTTTGTTTCACTTAATGTGCCTTATGGTCCGGAGAATACGGTAACTTCTACCTTCCATTAGCATGTCAGGAAGTCCAACTTTTTGTGCGATGGTTAGCATCTTCCTCTGCCTTCTGGGAGCTACCGCAGCTGCCTTTGATGGTGCAAACGTTTCGTCGACATTGTTGTTTGTTGGGGAGAAAACTTACAAACATACAGTACAGCACTTCAGAGTCACGCTGCTAGCGATCGAAGATTTATGTAAATTTGATAAGCTGAACTCATTCTGTACTGTACAGGAGACACGGCGCGAGATTTTGACAATGGTCTACAGCCAATCAGGACGCAGAAGACAATGCGCTGTATAAAAAAAAAGCATGCAAAATTGTACACAACAAAAAAAAATATCAGTGAAACAGCGAGGCCGCGAAAGGTGAACTATTTGTTTTACAGGTGCTTGACTTGCAGATGCCTTAAATCATTACTGTTGTTGGATGTTGGGCCTCACCTGGTCACATTATGTCTGTTTCTGACTGCTGTGGTGACATCATGGCAAAAATGTATTTGTGCGCACATGTTGAGAAGAACTCTGACATTGTGCTCGCGTTCACCCGAGGCCCTAAGTAGCAGGTGATGGGTAAACTTCAGGTTTAACACTGTGTTCTCTGGGTTGTGAAGGTGGTTCGTCACCACAGTAACACGCTGCAGACCTGCCTGCAGGTTATGTTCAAGGTAAAAGATCAATATGTGCCAAACTACCACCTACTAACCAATCAATTCTCTAGAAAATAGATCCCTGAAACCGGACGAACATCATTAAAAAAACAAAACAAACTTTATTTCCTGTTTTTTCTTCCTGGTGTCTGCAAATAAAGCATTACTGTTATTGTCCTGTAAGCTGTAATACAGTAACATTATGCTAAAAATAGCCCCCGGAGCATTTTACTTGTTGACATTATGTAAAATGTTTCTGACTTGAACTATCTTTCGATATTAGATTGAGATGCAGCTGAAAGAACGGGGCATAAACAGGCTAAGAAGCAAATCTAAACAATGCATTAATCTAATGGAACAAGCAGCTGTAATTATACCCAAATCTTCCCATTACTCACTACTGACAGTGACGATTCCATCAACCTAAACTGTTTGTTTTGGAGAGTTTTTAATGGTCTTTAAGTGCTTAAAAGCACACAAACTTTTTTCTACTGGGATGTAAACGTTGCACAGTGCTCGTCCTTTCAGTTTGTGATCTCGTGGTTAGACGGGTCGACCATCCAGTTGATAACCGCCTTCGCGTGATCGCACTTGAGCCTTCAGCTGTGCTGCAGCTCATCTATAGAACCTGTAACCACTTTATCTTTGTCAGCTTGACTCTGAGAAACTGACTTTACAGCCACATCACCTCTGACCATCGTGTTTTATGCTTTACATTCATATTATTCCTGGATTTTAAATCTCTTAATATTGTTCTTGTTCATTTTCACATGTATTATTATTAGAAAACATGTCCTGGATATGTTGTAGCACAGGCCTCTCCCTGCACCTTTAACGATG